GTCGCCGCCTTCGACCGCCGCATCCGGTCGCCAACTCCGACCGCCACTTCCGGTCGCTGACTCCGACCGCTGCTTCTAGTCACCGACTCTGACCGTCGCTTTAGGTGGCCGCCGACTCCGATCGCTGCCTCCGACCGCCGCTTCCAGTCGCCAACTCCGACTGCCGCTTTCGATAGCCGCCTCCGGTCGCCGCCTCCAACCGCTGCCTCGGGCCGCCTCCGATGACTAGTTAGCAGATGTGTTCACAAAATCTCTTAAAGGGCCTCGGGTTGATTATATTTGTAACAAGCTTGGTGCATATGATATATATGCTCCAGCTTGAGGGGGAGTGTTACAGATATTGTGAATATATTACTGATATTGTGGATACATATATTATGGTTATTATCCTCACTATCAATTAGGAATATAATTAGATTAATTTCCATAATATAAGATATTAGTATCTCTATCATTTATTGTATATTTGTATTCACTCTATAAATAAGATTGGTGTGTGTACAACAAGACACACAATTCCTGAATCACAACAGTTATAATGACAAAATAGTCCAAAATTTTTGTACGGTAAAAGGGGATATCCCCTTTATAATTAGTATAAAAGTATAGATATAAATTACTAATTAATTATGGATATAAAATAACACTAGGATATCTTTGTTGTCAAATATGTTGATTCTTTATCCTACTCAATTATATCTACTGCTCTCAAATTTTATCACATGGAATGAAAATCAATTGACAAGATTATATCAAGATTTTTTTATATATTATGAACCTCAACATGTATCAAAGTCATGCATTCATTACCTTCCTTAAGGAGGTAGACTCTTGCTGTCTCCAAGATCTTGCAAATATGGCTCGAAGATCAGAAGTCCATCCAAATAAGCCCTTCCATTCATTGTATATACACTGTCAACACAAAAAATGAAATTAAATAAATTAGTCCTCTACTCCAAAAATCTTATAACCTAAACATCAAAATATACACCTATCCATAAAACAAAAAGGTAAGTCTAAAGGTTACAATCTGAACTCTGGAGATTGGATTTAGCTTCACTAAAGCGAGGGAAATGTACATTAGATAATGAAGTGTGGTTATAATTATTGATTATTACAACAGTTAGATTTTAACAAACTTGTGGTTTGTTATACATGTATGTTAACATTTATCAGAATTTCAACCATGAATTTATCCACTAAATTGTATCTCTTTATTATGGATAAGCCAAATCTCTTGAGATTAGTGCCACTGAAAAATAAACAAACTCAAAAACAGCAAAGGTTCATTGACACTATGCCCACTGAAAAGACAAAACAATCAACAAAGCAGTGGGTGAGCTGTTTGTCATTGTAGATTAACAGTGTGTCTGTTTATCTTGGCATGAATTCCCAAACATACAAACAGAAAAGCAATATGTTTTACAAATGGAAAATCAACACACTAAGGGCTTTGGTTGAGTTGATGAAAGTAATGGCATGGCGTGTTTAAAAGTCATTGAAGCCATTTTTTAGAAATGCTAAACACCAACGATCCGTGAGAGAAGGATTGATGTTTAGCATGCTTTGAGGGTGGGAATTGGGAAACAATTAATGGTGTGTTTGATTCACTGTTTCATCACATTGAACGTCAATCCAATCTGAGAGAAGGTTTGCATTCAATTCAACATGCATCAGAAAGCAGGATTTGTCTTTCCGTTGTCTCACTTTGCAATGCAATTAACCCGAAATTCAACTTCTCCACACTTGTATTCCTTCTCTTCCACTTCCCTCTTTCCAAACAGTGTAAAAGAAAGAAAATATTGGAATGGAATTCAACCCGCTTTAAAACATAAAAATAAACACATGCTACAACTAAAATAATCATGTTCAAACTCTGGTATCATTGTAATTCCCTTGCAATAAAAAAAAAAAAAAACAATACTCTAAGCCCAGTTTTACTTTCCATTTCCACCTTCACATATTTTTGTTCTGAACCAAGAGTGAAATGATTTTCGTTCCAGAACAACTTCCACTTTTTCACTTTCCTCTTTTCACTTCCCACATTATACCGACCTAAATTCAAATTACACATTGACTCCAGTTCCAAATACTTAAACAACCACTTAACAAAATTCGAATCAGACCCTAACACAATCCCCTGTTTAACCGCGCATTAACCTCAAAAAATTCAACAATCTCGAGCAAAATAAAAAAAAAAAAAAAAAGGTAAAAAAAATGAGAGGTTACCGTTTGGGTTCTTTGAAGAATAACGCCTTTATCGCCGGACTCGCGCGAAACGAGGACACCGGGTCTGAGCGTTTTCCAGGAGCCGTCGACGGCGGACTTGGCATCGACGGTGCCGCGGGCAATTACAATCTGACCGTCGTGAGAGTTAGAGTCGGCGAGGAGGGATCGGAGGTCGGAGACGGAGAGGGAAGGGGCGTGGCGGAGCTTGCGTAGGGCGGTGGAAGTGGCGGTGAATTTGAAGAGGGTGCGGACGGCGGCGTAGGCCAAGGCGAAGCCCAAAACGGCGCCGTCGAAGGAAAGGGCGAGCTGGGAGAGAAGGGACACTACGGCTTGCTCCTGATGGGACATTGATAATGATCATTCATATCTCTCACTACTCACAATCATACTTTCTTCGTTTCCATCATAACAATCCAAGAAATTCACCACGTCGTCGTTTAGTATGTTCTTCTAGAAGTATCAGGGTCGGGTTAACGTGTCTTCTTCGCTGCTTTTAACTACCATTTTACAATATTAAATAATTATTTATTTTTTCATATATATTTCATTTTGATAGTTAGATATTACTTGCTAGATAATATTCGGTTCATGGAAAAAAAATAATATAAATCATTTACTTTTTAGATAAATTAGTGGATCATTTGTTTGATATAAAAAATAAGAAACTCTTGGGACATTATCATGGGAGAAAAGTTCTTTTTTTTTTTTTTACAAGAGAAGAATTAGAGTGAATAGGAGTAAAAGTTGGTTAGGTGAAGTTACACTTTGTAAGGTTTAAACTTGATATTATTTAAATATTCATTATTTTAAGAAAATAAGTTTGAATATCTAACTTAATATTACAAAATTAATTTATTAAATAAGAATTATTTATCATTTATACATATTATTTTGGTTATATTAGTAACTGATATAGTACCTTTAACAATTTTTCTTAAGTGGAGAACTAGATATATCGTGTGTGAAATTTACAAAATTAGATATTTGTAGATACTTTGATCGACCAAAGAACAATTAATAATCGTTAAAATATAAATTTTGGTACTGTTTTAAAAGAATCAGGATCCATTAACACCAAGTGTAAGTTTATAAACTCACACCAAATCTTATACATTCAATAACTTTTTATATAATGTAAATTTAAGTGATCTAATCATTGAATTATGTGGTATTATATTCGAGATCAAGTATATCAAATTTTATATAATTTAAACTTTTTTAAATATATTATTTAATATGGATATTTGTATATAAATGTTATATTATGCATTAAAATAAAGTAACGTAATCAATTATTAAATAATTTTATAATCATGTAAAATTTGATATGCATGATCTTGAGTAAAATATCATATAACTCAATTGTTGAATCAATTAAATTTGTATTATAAAGAAAATATTGAAAGTATATAATTTGGTGTAAGTTTTTAAACTTACATTTACTTTTAATAAATTCTCAACTCTTTTAAAAATTTATTAAAAGTCTAACTTAATCTTACAAAATTAGTTTATAAAGTGAGAATTATTTTTCACTTATATAAAAATCTGATTTGGCCAACAAACTTGTTTTAAGAGCTATTTTGTATAATTTAACATTAATATAGAAGTAAAGAATAAATATTTTTTTTTGAGGAGAGAATAAATATATTGTTTTAAAAAAATAACCTAACTTATTTATAAGATATAAACATATTTTTTAAGTCTAATCATAATGATAATTCATTTAAAAACATACATTGTAATAAGAGCTAAATACAACATAAATATCTTTGAATAAACTTACAAGTTTTGTCTATAAAGATTAATGAAATTTTGAGCGACAAATTTAATAATATGTAACTTTTATTTAATAGATTTAGTAATGACATTTGAGAGATAAAAATAATAATTTTTTATATTTTTAAATGAAAAACTTAAATTTTAAACTTATTGAATATAGCAGCATGATAGAATTGAAAGAACAAGAAGAATATTGTGAATATTACTGATATTGCATTCTGTACCAGTGAAGGTGTACAACTATATATATACATGTATATCAGTGACTTGTAATAATAGGTAATATATATCAGTGACCTGTTATCAGCTGTAATATAACACTAACTAATCCAATACCCCCCTTCAAGATGGGAGAAAAATGTTTTCAATACCCAGCTTGGACAAGATGCTGAGAAAAGCATTGCGAGGCAATGTCTTGGTGAATATGTCGGCCAACTGATGATGATTTCTGACATGAATTAACTTGAGTGCCCCTCTTTCTACTTGTTCCCTTGGTGAACAAAGTGTAATCAAACTTTGATTGTTTGAAACCTTGAGAAATTAGTGTGGTGCTGAATTTGGCAAACCAGCTTCTAGATGCCTGTTTCAAGCCATATATTGACCTGTTTAATTTGCATACCAAAGGGGCAGCAGATGTGGGAATGATGTCATGGCTGTATCCTGGAGGGATTTGCATAAAAATTTCCTCATCTAAGTGGCCATTGAGAAAAGCATTATTAACATCTAGTTGGGCTAGATTCCAATGTTGGGATGCAGCAAGTGATAAGAGTAGCCTCAAGGTCGTGATCTTGGCCACAGGTGAAAATGTCTCCTGGAAATCAAGACCATATTGTTGAGTGAAGCCGCGAGCAACCAGCCGAGCCTTGTGTTTGGCTACAGTTCCATCAGAGTTGAGTTTTAGTTGAACAACCACTTGCAACTTATTGGCTTTTTATCATTTGGTAGATGAGTGATGGACCATGTGTTGTTCATCTCCATGGCAGCGAGTTCATCTTCGATAGCTTGTTTCCAATGAGGGAATTTTATGGCCTGTTTATAGGTTTGAGGTTCATGATTTGCGGAAATTTGGCAGATGTAATGGGTGTGTGTTGTGGAGAGCTTGGAGTAATCTATGAATTTTTGGATAGGGTATAAAGTTTGTTTGTTATCGGTTGCATTGTAGCAATGATAATCAGATAAGTATCCTGGTGGATTCACAGCTTTGCTAGATCTGCGAATCAGAGTGTTGCTTCTATGTTTTGTTGTGTTGCTCTATTATAACATGTATGTTGTAGAGACCCTTATTAGCGCTAGGATTTTGTATTTTTAATATTCTATATTAAATGTATATTAATATATATATATATAGAGAGAGAGAGTTTTGTTGTAATTTTATTAGAGGATTTATGTTCTTAAGTCAAAATTTGTAAAGATTATTTTATATTTTTAACACTCAATACATATATTTATTGCATGGTTGTTCAAATAATGTTGTAGGATAAACCTAGTTTAGTATATTTTACTTATTTTTGCTATGTACTGTTGTATTATACTAAGTGTAGTAGCCTGCTTAATTGTTACAAATATCAATGTTTATTCTAGTTTAGGGTGAATGTAAGCTATTGAAAGAAAAAAAGATAAGGAAAAAAGTAATGGTATAACTATTGGTGATGGTATAAAGATTTTTAGTAAAATTATTAGAGTTAATCACATATACACTGCCAACACTGGTAACCAATTATATCTTTTAATTGTGTCATGTCACTGTTAAAAGTAAATATGTTTATAGACATGGCATAATTAAAAGATATAATTGATTGTCAGTGTAAAAAAAACTTTACACTGACAGTGTATAGGTAATTAACTCAAATTATTATGTGTAATAAATTTATTAACTTTTTTATAATAAAAAATTATCCATATTGTATGTATCATAATTTGTGATTGGTTAATAGTGTAAAGCAAATTTATATTGTTAGTATATGACTATTAAACTCTAAGTAATATGACTAAAATATTAAAAATTAAACAATGGGATAAAAACAAAAGGGTAATATATATTGTTAGAATAATAAAGAAGACAAGTAGAGAACCATTGACCTAGTGGTGGAATGAGCTAAGGTTAAAGGAAGGTGGTGACCACTTACAAATGCTCTAATTCTTAAGTGTATGTTTAGGAATACGTTTTACACAGAGTAAACGAGATTTCACATTTTCCAAAGCCAAAAACGTAGAAGTAAAGGGGAGTTACTTTAAATTGAACGTACGTTTGTTAAATTTCAACTGTAATCCAAACACACTGTAAGTCATTATACGATTTAGCGAAGTAAACAAAAAGGGAACCCAAATATATACATGACATTACATGTTATTTATAGGGCCTAGTGAGGGATATACAAGATATAAAGTTCTTACCCAACCTCGCAAGTTTATTACAACATATGTCATCTCACACGTTGAAGGTTATATTAGAGCTGTTAAAGTGAGCTCAGCCCGGTGAGCCAACCCAGCCCATCATGGGTTTGAGACGGGTTGGGTCAAAAAAAAATTAAAAAATTCAGTACGAGCCAATTTTGAACCCAGCTCACCCGGGTTGAACCTGTGGTGAGTCGGGCTGACTTATCTCTTTCTTTACAAATTTGTTCTTACTGTTATCAATTTGTTGTTTTTGTGAGGAATTGACAGAAAAGGCTATGTTTTCCGAGTGAGCAATAGAAGGAGGAACAATAATTTCACGTTGAGCTTCTTCTTGGAGAATAAGGGAGAAGACATTACCAATCGAAGGCAAAGGGTCAGATAGGAGAATTTGGCCACGGATTTGAGAGAAAGAATCGTTTAAGCCCATCAAGAAGGACATGACATATTCAAATTCTGTGTGTGTTTGGAGTTGTTGAAGGCCACCACATGTACAGGGGAATGTTGGTGTGTAACCGAACAATTCCTCCCAGATTGACTTCAGCTTTGTATAATACGTGCCAACATCATCAGGTCCTTGCTGAAGGGACATCAATTGGCGTCGAAGTTGGAAAATGCGTGGTCCATTCTTTCTTGAAAATCTGATTTTCAAGTCTTCCCAGATTTCTTGTGCAGTTGTGACAAACAAGATGCTCGTGATGATTTCTTTGGAAACAGAGTTGTAAAGCCAGGAGATGACCACGTTGTTCGCACGATTCCAAGCGGCGTCGGTTGCTGCAGGTTTAGGGAGGGTTCCATCAATGAGCGGTATTTTGTTCTTCACGGAGAGGGCTACCTGCATCGCTCTGCTCCATGTGGTGTAATTCTTGTGGTCAAGAGGTTGGGACGTGAGAACCAAACCAGGTCCATCCGAATGATGCAGAAAAAGGGGGTGATTGGGATCTTGGCTTGGATCTTTAGGTTCATTCGTCATGGTGGTGGGTAATTGATTTAGGGTGGCAGAGATGGTGGATTTGGTTGAAAAACAATGAATGGGAATCACAGGTTGGATCGTTCTAAGAGTTGATTTATCTCTTCTGATACCATATTGAATATAGCAGCATGATAGAATTGAAAGAACAAGAAGAATATTGTGAATATTACTGATATTGCATTCTGTACCAGTGAAGGTGTACAACTATATATATACATGTATATCAGTGACTTGTAATAATAGGTAATATATATCAGTGACTTGTTATCAGCTGTAATATAACACTAACTAATCCAATAAAACTTGAGGTACCAAAAGATATATAGAAAGATTAAAATAATGTTTTTGAAATTATAAAGACTAAAAATACAAATTTTAAATTTGAGAGAAAAAATATATATCCCAAAATCAAAAAACTAAAAATATATTTAAATTTAAAATAATTTATTTATTATAATTTTTAATTAAAAAAATAAAGCTTTATCGGTATAATCCACAACCCCCCAAAAAAAAAAGTGATCTCCCAATTTTTTTTCTTTCTAAACTTACCGTGTTAAGGGCGCGTAAAGTGCGTGGTTTGTTTGTTTCTTTTTGATTAAAAAAGGGGATCGGTGTGATTGAGCTTCATCTAATGATGATGAATGATAAACCAATGTTTCACTTTGTGACAACACTGTGCATGAAGCAGGTCAGTTTGATTACAGCTATTCTCCATTCTCCAATTACGTAGTTCATTAATTAACACACAACAATATGAACACAAAACAATATACCTTGCTTCTATGCCCTTGAATCTCCTTTCTCAACCATCCTTTTCACCTTTTTTTTGTCTCTTTTTCTATCCATTCTTTAGTCCTCCTGACTTTATGGACGGCTGTTTGTCCATCACTTGTAAGCATAGATAGATTCCTTAGCCCATCCATCACCCATTGCCAACCTTTCCCCACTATAAATCCATCCCTCTCAAGTGCCATCTTTTGCTAGCCAACTAGAACAAAACAAAACTCTTAATGGCCACCACCTATGCTTATTATGGTTGTTCCTCTTCCCAAAGATCAATGGCCATGGTCTTGGCTCTGGTCTCAGCAGTGGTCTTGTCCCCCTTATATGCCAACAACTCAAAGAGTGACAGGAGGTACTATGAGTCAAAATGGAGCTCTAGTCTTCTTCTGCCTATGCTTCTTGCTGGACTCATAATTGCCATCAGAACAACCTCTTCATCTTCATCATCTCCAAGACCCTCATTTCTGCTATCTCCTGACCCATCGTGGGTGCTCAGAATTGGAAGCACTTCTTGGGGTTTGGCGGGGATCTTGCTTATGCTTATGCTTGTTCTTCATTGGCAAGCATCCTTTCAAGATTTCTTTTCCAGATAGGACCAAGCAAGGTTTCTGTTTCTATGTGTATTCTATTTTTTTAACGTAATAATATCAGAAACCGAGAGTTTTGCGTTGCATTTTCATATCTCCAAAGCTTGAACTGGTAATAGAACAGAACAGAGAAGGTTATATACTCGGATTTCCGCATAATGTTCTTTTGTTTAGAAAATGAAAGAAAAAAGTTATAAAAAAAAAAAAACGTTTATTTAATTGCGCAAAATGCATATAATGAAATAAATATTTTTACTTAAAAAATTTTTACAAAATAATGACAAATCAATATTTTAATCTACAAGCACAACTTTCTGTTTGAACCGATTGAAAAATCTGTGAGTTTCGTGTATTTTTGTGATGTTCCTTAAATCTCTAGACCAAAACAGACAGTGGAAAAAAAACAACTTTTAGGTGTTTTTTCATCTCTATTCTTTCTTCTTCTCACTTTTTAATGTTTTAGAATACACCATAAAGGAACATATGAGAAAGATGATAAAAGATTGTTGAAATTTTAATTATAAAAATAATTTAAAATGAGAGAAAAGAAGAAGAAATCTTAATGGAGAGATTAAAGGAATACTTAAATAAAAATTAGTTAAATTATATTTTTGTCTTTTTATAATATCAGATCTGTATTTTTTATTTTATAATTTTAATCTTTCAATTTTATAAAACTGTAATTTTGATCTCTTTTTAAATTTTTATCTACTAATTATTAAAATTATAAATTAACCATGATCTAATATGAAGTGAATGACATACTAATTATTATTTAAATTAATTTATATTTTTAATTCTCATTTTTATCACATGTTTATTTCAATAAGACTAACAATAAAATTTAAATTAAATATTATCAAATATTAATTATCACATCATTTAATTAATGCCATATTATAATTAATATCATAATTTTATCGATAAAAATAAAAATATTTGGAATAAATTATAAATTTTGAAAAATTGAGACACTAAAATTATTTATAAAAAAAAAACAAACAAACAAAACAAAACAAAATTAAATTAAATTATACGAGACTAAAAGTGTAATTGCCTTAAAAATTTATATGAATTGAATTTGGAAGCTTTGAGATTACAGGTCACACATGGAACTCTAACGATCTTGCATCGTCACGAGTCTTCTACAAACAGCTTCAGGAATTGTATTATTATTCATTTAAATTTGGATTCACAATATTCAAATCTGCAGGATGAGCAAATTAGGTTTAGGGTTTTTAAGAGACAACAAAAATATTAAAAAAAAAAAAAAAACTGGAAATTGATTCTTCTTACCCCTCAAAAGGGATTACATCAGAGTATAGGTTCATGATATATACACCTCCTTTTTTCTATAAGTACACCTCCTTTTAAAAAAAAATAATTAAAATTTTATAATATTTTTAATTTTTTGTTTTAAATTTTTTAATTTTACATTCACAACATTTAATTTAGTACTTTTTTTTATTACATATCTTTCCTTTTTTTTTTCAATTTTTACATACACCTCCTTATTTTTCCTTCATCTCACCTATTTTGGTAGCATGTAAAAATTGAAAGAGAAAAAAAAAAGTGTGTGAATAAAAAGAAGAAAATAGTAAATTAAAAGTTGAAAGTGTAAAATTAAATTTTAAAAAAAAAATTATAATATTTTATATTTTTTTTTTTAAAAGAAGGAGGTGTACTTATAAAAAAAAAGGAAATGTATATATCATGAGCCCAGAGTATATAGTAAGCATAGTTTTAAAAACCGGACCGATCATTAAACCGGTTAAGGTATTGGGTTAGTGGGTCAAAGGTTGAACCGGTGGGTCACTAGTTGAACCGCATGACTCGATTTTTATTTATTTTTATTAAAAAATATTCATATTAAATATATTTTATACTTATAAATTTTAATAAATTCATATCTTATTTTAAATTTCAATTTTTCTATCTTATTTAAAATTATTTTTATTTTTATTTTGTAAAAAAATACATAAAAAATTATATGTTAAACGGTATATTAATACAAATTAAAAATATAAATAATATGTACATATATAATATGCTTGCAATTAATATCAGAAAATAATATATGTAATATTTACATAGATATTGCATTATTAAATATATAATTTAAAATTAATAATATACTATAAAATTTATTTAAGTTATATATATTGCAAACAAAATATATTAGAACAAGTAGTCATTGTTATATTTAATAAGACTCCTTGCTTTTTCATTAAGAGATTCAATTTTCATTATTATTTTTGTGATTTATGGTCCCTTAAAAAATTTTTTTAAAAAAAAAAGTGGTTAAACTGGTTTGACCCACCGGTTCACCGGTTAAACCGAAAAATTGACCGGTTCAATCCGGTTTGAAATGGGTCGACTGCATAACCGATCCAACTTCAAATTCGGACCGGGGGGACCACCGGTTCCTGGTCCAACCGGTCCGACCGGCCAGGTCGGTCCGGGTTTTAAAACACTGATAATAAGGTCTCATATGGATAAGAAATCTGGACTTACAAAAACAACTAACAACTTTCATACTCTCATGGGCTAGGCCCAATTGATTAAAAATAATTCTTTAGCAAAGCAGGTGGGCAGACTGCCCTTTTGGGCCTAAAATTAGGTGTGCTTAATACCCAATAAAGGCCATTATGATATAAGGATCATGACATATACACTTATTTTTTTTTTAATAAGTACACCTCCTTTTAAAAGAAATAATTAAATTCTTAAAATATTATTAATTTTTATTTTTTTTTAATTTTTTAATTTTACACTCCTAATATTTAATTTAATATTTTTTTTACATACTTCCTTATCTTATTTTCATATGTACCTACTTAATTTTTCTTTACCTCCACCTATTTTGGTAGGTAATTTTAATTTTTTTAGTTTTACATTATTCTTTTTTCCTTTCTTTTTCAGTTTTCTCGCTGATTTCACTATCTGCATAGTACTATAGAATAGTAAAAATGTCTTTTTTATAACACTAAACTTAATGTTAAGGTTTTTGGAGGGATGAAAGGAAAGGAAGTGTTGAAAGAAAAAACATGTGTCTAGTTTGATAGAAACCGTCAAGGAAACTACACGTATCTACAATGTTATCGTCTACCAGTTCTATGATTTGGGTACATGTGAAAAAGTGAAAGAGGTGAGCAAATAAGAGAGTAATATAAAAATCGAGAGAACTAAAACTACTCACTAAAATAGGTGAGGAATTAAAGAAAGACAAGAAGGTGTATGTGAAAACTAGGAAAGAGAAGAACAGAGGTGTGTGAAAAGAAAAAATAATAAATTGAAAGTTAAAGATGTAAAATTAAAAATTTTAAAATTTAAAAAATTATAAATATTTTTAAAAAAAACTAAAAAAAATAAAAGAGGTGTACTTATTAAAAAAAAAAAAGAATATATATCATTAGCCATGATATAATTGGAATAATCTAGGCCAACCCATAGTAAACTTTTGATTGTTTGGGTCCTTGCGATTTAATCATTTTCATGTATTTGATCATTCCTTCAAAACGAATCAAAACTCTTATATTTAATTTATTATTTAAAAATAATTTTCTTCATAAACATCGGTTTTTATAATTTTTTTTTACATAAAATTATCTTCATGAAGAGCTCTCAATTAAAATAAAAGTTTTATTATGATAAAAATATTATGTTACATTTATTTTTCATTTAATGCAGTAAAAAAAATATTTTCAAATAACATAAATAAACATTTTTAAAAGTGTTTATGATTGATCAAACAAATTTTAATTAATATTATCTTAGTAGTGGTTGAAGGAAGAAGTTGCGATAGATAAGTGAGGATTCTTATAAAATATTTTTGTTATTTATTGGAGGCATTTATACTAATAATACAAATAAATTAAACTCTGGGATAAAGTTTTATATATTTTTTTATATTTCAAAAAGTTAATTTCTTTTAAAACCCATTTTGAATTTAAATTTAAATTCAAAGTTTGTCTGAAAAAAAATTGTTTTAAAGTTACCGTTTTGATCTGAATAATTTTGAAAATGAAAAGATTTCCTTTATATTATCGTTGCGTTCAAATTACCCTGTTAATTGTCAGTGTTTCATTTTATATAACAAAAAGTTGAAGGAATTCCCATTGTATATGAGGAACTTTTGCATGCAATACTGTGGATAAATTCATATTTGATGAAGCTAACTTAGTTTGTATTTTTTATAGCCCAAGGATAGAAATTGTGAACTTCTGAGACTATTCTGTATCTAGAACTTTGGTATGGCTACGTCATTGACAGCAGTGTATTCAGAGCAAAAAGTTTACAATTGACTTGCGTGCTACTCAACTTCAAGACAAGGTTAAGTGCATCTTCCCTCATGTCTCAACCACCCCCAAGAAGGTACTACTATTTCTCATCATTTATTATATCAGAATGTTGAATTTTATCTCATGCCAAAATGAGAAAATTCTACTTTTAGGGTTTGTTTGGATTTGAAGATGGAAAAGGGGGAGTGGAAAAGAAAAGATTTGAAGGAAAAATGAGTGGAAAGTGAGGTTGTTTGGATTAAGGGAAAGTGAGTGAAAAGTGTAGAGAATGTTTGTGAAAGTTTGTGAGTGAATTGATTGATGTGATAGATAAAAATAAATTTTTTAATTGATAATTATGTAAGATTACTATTTTGCCCTTAAATTAAAAAAAATTATAATTAATTTAGTTAAAAGATAAATATATAAATTTTAATTAAAAAATTATAAAATATTAATTAAAAATAATTTAATTTAAATATTTACTTTAAATTTAAATTTAATGATAGATAAAAATTAAAAATTTAATAGATGAATATATAATTTATACTTTTATCCTTAGATTAAAAATGAGTATAATATTATTTATTGTAAATAATAATAGTTACAATAAAATTATCTTAATAAGTAATTTTTTAAAAATAATAAATAATGATAAAAATAATAATAAATATTAGAAAAATAATAA